ATCTACCCGACTTGTACTTCAATTTTTATTGAAACCCCAAACACATGTTCTATATTATTGTCATTTTATAAAAATCACTTTTCAAATTGACTATTATTTATAGACACAACTATGAATGGGTTTTCCATTTTCGTTCCTTTTCAAATTAATTTTGAAACTAACAACATCACAGCAATACTCCAAACAAACATACTAACATACTCACGACACTCGTACCTTGCTGGTGACATAATTTTTCTACCCTGAATATAAACCGGAGCTGATTGATTCCGAGCAAGGGGGAACGCACCACCGACGTTAAGCTGACGAGAGGCGAGGTGGAGACGTCCCGTCCGTCATTGTGTGGATCAGATCCACTCGCTAGTCAATAACTAAACCACGACAAACAAATTGAACACATGGGTGTCGGCGTGGCTCGCTTTTGCCTGCGGCAAGATAGGTAAACGAATGGCTATGAACGCACAACAACATTTGTTTTTCCAAAACCCAAGTTGTGCTTTCATCTACCCGACTTGTACTTCAATTTTTATTGAAACCCCAAACACATGTTCTATATTATTGTCATTTTATAAAAATCACTTTTCAAATTGACTATTATTTATCGACACAACTACGAATGGGTTTTCCATTTTCGTTCCTTTTCAAATTAATTTTGAAACTAACAACATCACAGCAATACTCCAAACAAACATACTAACATACTCACGACATTACATTGTACCTTCTTTGGTGACATAATTTTTCTAACCTCAATATAAACCGGAGCTGATTGATTCCGAGCAAGGGGGAACGCACCACCGACGTTAAGCGACAGAGCAGGGCAGGGAGACGTCCCGTCCTCGCTGTGGATCAGTCCACTCGCTAGTCAATAACTAAACCACGACAAACAGCTGAACACATGGGTGTCATGGCTCGCGCTTGGCCAATGCAAGAAGATAGGTAAAACGAGCGGCTATGAACGCGCAACAACATTTGTTTTTCCAAAACCCAAGTTGTGCTTTCATCTACCCGACTTGTACTTCAATTTTTATTGAAACCCCAAACACATGTTCTATATTATTGTCATTTTATAAAAATCACTTTTCAAATTGACTATTATTTATCGACACAACTACGAATGGGTTTTCCATTTTCGTTCCTTTTTAAATTAATTTTGAAACTAACAACATCACAGCAATACTCCAAACAAACATACTAACATACTCACGACATTCGTACCTTGCTGGTGACATAATTTTTCTACCCTCAATATAAACCGGAGCTGATTGATTCCGAGCAAGGGGGAACGCACCACCGACGTTAAGCGACAGAGCAGGGCAGGGAGACGTCCCGTCCTCGCTGTGGATCAGTCCACTCGCTAGTCAATAACTAAACCACGACAAACAGCTGAACACATGGGTGTCGCGTGGCTCAACCGGCTGCGGCAAGATAGGTAAAACGAGCGGCTATGAACGCGCAACAACATTTGTTTTTCCAAAACCCAAGTTGTGCTTTCATCTACCCGACTTGTACTTCAATTTTTATTGAAACCCCAAACACATGTTCTATATTATTGTCATTTTATAAAAATCACTTTTCAAATTGACTATTATTTATCGACACAACTACGAATGGGTTTTCCATTTTCGTTCCTTTTCAAATTAATTTTGAAACTAACAACATCACAGCAATACTCCAAACAAACATACTAACATACTCACGACATTCGTACCTTGCTGGTGACATAATTTTTCTACCCTCAATATAAACCGGAGCTGATTGATTCCGAGCAAGGGGGAACGCACCACCGACGTTGTTTATTAGTGAGCAGGTGGAGGCGTCCGTCCCTCGCTGTGGATCAGTCCACTCGCTAGTCAATAACTAAACCACGACAAACAGCTGAACACATGGGTGTCGCGTGGTCTCTCACCCATTGCGGCAAGATAGGTAAAACGAAGCTGACTATGAACGCAATAACAACATTTGTTTTTCCAAAACCCAAGTTGTGCTTTCATCTACCCGACTTGTACTTCAATTTTTATTGAAACCCCAAACACACGTTCTATATTATTGTCATTTTATAAAAATCACTTTTCAAATTGACTATTATTTATCGACACAACTACGAATGGGTTTTCCATTTTCGTTCCTTTTCAAATTAATTTTGAAACTAACAACATCACAGCAATACTCCAAACAAACATACTAACATACTCACGACATTCGTACCTTGTTGGTGACATAATTTTTCTACCCTCAATATATATCATTTTAGTTCTCAAAATTCATTTTCCAAGCCAATTATATATATTTTCAAACACGGCTAAAGCACTAAAGTTTGTTACTCGACATTTTAAACGCAACAAAAATCATGCTCCGAATTTTACTTAAGTACTAAATACAAGTTATATTTTATCTTGTTTATAAAAATTGCTTTTCATGCTTAATCTATTAGAACAAACCGTTCGCTATCTATTTGCTAGAATTGTTGTCAGACATTTCTAAATATCTTTACGCATTGAATAATTTAACATAGGCGTTTATTTGAGTCCACAAAACTGAGTCACACATGATTCATTTATCACTTCAAGTACGTTTTAAATCAAAAATCTAAGAAACTCATTTCGGAAATTTTTCTTAGTCCTAAATCTCGGTGCTAAACGAGCTCGTAACACCAGAGGTGTTACAGTCCACTGGCTCAGTCGGACACGGGAAGGTAAATGCTAGGTCATTTTTAGACAGCGCAAGTGTTAGTTCATACTTGTCTCGTCATACCCTATAGTTGCCCCCCTTCAAGAGGCGGTATGTGCAAGATAAAAGCCATTGGATTGAGTCCTAAAAAACACCCCTAGAGAAAGTGAGAAAATATGACATCATAATTGCATGTTTTAATTTAACGTTGGTCAAAATTAAAACATACAACATTCTCTGATACACTAATTCTACATCACCGTTGAGCAAAAATAGAATTAATGCATGGAAAACTTATGAATAAACATTATAATATTGTTATCATCAACATTGGTCAGAAAATAACAATACGATAATTTAACTTAAGCAAATATGACTACTCCAATTAAAATTTTTCCGTTGGTTCAAAAATTAATCAAAGGATAAACTGATCATTGCAACGGAAAACTCATACTTAATTGGTGAATTTTACCCACAGAAAAATTCTCTTTACTAATTTTGTTTGAGCCATTAATCAAATACCAAGAAAAGAATAAATTCTCTGGATTTAGAAAATGAAAAAGGGCTCAAAGCATAACTGTTTACTCGACCAAGCAGCAAAGCAGCCTAGCCTGCCTTGCGTGTGCGCCTGCAGCTCCGTCCTAGGCCGCAACCTGGGCCTGGGCCGGGAAAGCGGCCTGCCGCTCGCGCCCGCCTGGGCCAAAACTCGACCCGTTCGCTCTGCACCATCCATCTCAGATCGATGGTTGAGCGCGCTCCTCGACGGAACAAAATGGCGCGCGGCGCCTCTCCCCTAGAAACCCTAGCCACTTCTCTCTCCCCCTTCTCTCTCTCAGCCCCGGCAGCACCGAGCGAGTGAGCGAGAGCGCAGAGAGATGATGGCGCCGTCGCCGGTCCCCTCGCTGGTGCGCGCGCTCCCCAGCAGGTGAGCGCGCCGCCGTCGAGCGGCCTAGTGGCGGCGCCCTTGGCCGGAGCTCGTGCGCACCTGACGAGCAACGGCTTGGCTTTCTTCTCGCGCGCCAGCAAAGCGGCAACACGGTGCAGCGGTGAGGTAAGACGTCTCCCAAGCCCTTCCCCTTTCACCTTCTTCACTCTGATTGGATTTTCTTTCTCTTCTTCTCGGAACTTGTCCGATTTAGTGGTAGGGTTAGGGTTAGGGTTTAGCTACTGTTCTTCTTCCCGGAGTTGTCTATGCGGGTTAGGGTTAGGGTTTGAGTTCCTTTTCAAACTGAGACCCTTTCTTACTCCTTTTCTTCATCCGATTTGGGTTTAGGGTTCGTTGAACCCTCTGCTTAGATCCGAATCGGATCTCTCACCTCCTTCTAATTGCTGCTACTTGGTTTTCTACCCCGATAAGCTAGATCTACGCCTAGTTAGGCTCCGATACCATTGTTAGTATATTACAGGATCAACTAGCCATAGATCTAACATGTGTATTTACATTTAGAATAAATAGCGAGTCCTAGAACATGTACTGGTACGGGATTAACAGATAGAGTGAGAGGAGAGAGAGAGATTGAGGAGGTGCAAACCATCGGTCGCCTTCTTAGAAGACGAGCTGGCCATGGGATTGCTTGACGGTGGCGCAGTGAAGCCCGGCGGTGAAGGCGCTGTCGCGGTGGCGGTGGTGGCTGGTGGCGGAGCTTCCCGTCGGCTGCAACGCCCCTCTCTAGATCGGCTAGGGTTTAGGGACTATAGGTGGGGCGTCTGGCGACTCAGGTGAACCTCGTGCCTTGTGCTCCGGCCCCCACCTTCCTTTTTTATGGCGCTTGTGCGACCGGACCCACCAACCATGGAGCGGTTGAGCGCCCCCGATCATGGCGCGGATCAAGGGGCCAACCAATTGATGGAGATCAATCTAACACTTTATTCATGTGCTTCCATGACTGTATGCTAAGAAAAATGCCTCCATGATTTAAATGTTATTAAATCTATTTTTTATAGAACTGCATATGGCTACTATGATGTTGATAGAACAATTTTTCAAACTACATTGCTAAGTTTCCTTAAATCCCACTTAGAATCACCACTGGCTAGCTCAAGATGGTGCGGCAACGCCGCGCCCCAAGTTTTCTAGTAGAATGACTAGAGAAAGACAATGTACCGATGCATGGTACAGTATTAAACTGCCATCCTGGCGTGATACAGCATGAATCGAGGGGGCAACGTAAACTCTCCACGCAAGGCCACAAGTCAGACGATCAGGAAACGGACAGGCCCATAGCTACAGCAGAACACGTACTATACTATGCTGATGTTACATGAGAGGCGCCTGTGCAGCCTTATCTATCAGCAGTGTGCAGCAGATCATCTTCGAAGCTGATCAATCGTCACTTCCGGAGAAACTTCCATGGTCCCCTCGCTGCCCCCATCCTGCAGATAGAAGCAACAACATAACATAGATGAGTGGAGTCCTACATCCGAATGGCCAGAGCTAGCAGCTACGTCTGAAGACATGGAGTCTCCGTAGAGTGAGGAGGATGGAGGATAAGGGAGTAGTATCATACCTCCAGGTGCTAGCTATGGTCCTCAGGCTCATGTAGATCGTCAATGCGATCCATATACCGATGAATCCGTTATGCGCAGAAAGGTACACCAGGCAAGGTATCGACACGGACGCAACGGCAACCTGAAGATTTTCATTGGGTTCATTGTTGGCAAGAGTTTCAGAGCTGAAACATGACGTGTGTTTTTTTTTTATCAGAAGATGTGAACAGTTTTACCATGGAGTAAGCAGAGTATGTGTAGTCTGATGCTCCAAAGTTGATGCCATCAAACACGAAGGCCAGGGAGTTGATGGTCTGTGTGCCGGCGACAAACTGAACCGAGATAATTTTTTAAAAAAATACTGTCTTTCAGTGTCTGAATCTTGCGAAACGCTTACATACGGGGGCTCTCTTTTAATATCCAGGCCACGTTCTTACCGGGATGCCTTTGTGAATGACTTCGATCACGGGCAAGTCGCTTGTGAAAATGCCAGCCCCGAACCTCATAGCAAGTCCCAGCACGACAGTGAGACCCATGCCCAGGACAATGCTCAGCTGCAAGGTGAAGAGGAAGAGAGGGCCATCAGCATGGGACGGTAGTTGCTGTTGAAGGGAAAGGGATCGGCAAGGCAAGGGTCTCTGATAAACACTGCTGCCCTATTGTGAGTTTACCTGCAACACACGAGATGTGGCGGCAACAACCTTCTTGTTGTCATTCTTGGCGAACGCACTTGCAAGCACTGCCTGCAATCGGTCATTGACAACACGATTCAGTTCGATCGTAACGTGCTGTCTGGTTATGAAACTTACTACGTGAACTAGTCTACATGGCTGTAATCTGACCTGTCCTGCCACGGCCAATCCATCGGCAAGGAGAGATGTGGCCAGCCAGAGCTGACAGCAGATTTGGAAGCCTGCCATGATGGTTGGTCCATGGCGAGCAGCCAGGACGCCGCCAGCGTGACGCAGAACGTCACCGCAACAACCCTTGCGAGCAGTAGGAATCCTGAAACAGAAATAAAGTTCAGTCTCCTTTTTGAGGATACGTTAGTTGGAGATGTTGTTATCCGGTCTCTGGATTCCATCGGTATCTCACCACATCCAAGAAATCGCCCGAATTTCAGAGACTTAATGCTAGGCGGGATAACATCAACTTGCTGGACGAGCCGGCACAGCAATATCAATGTTATCAGGTACCTGCAATAAGGAGGGAAAATGTCAGGATAAGCTTATCATAGAAATACAGAAGCTGTTCCTTTTCTCTTGGGGAAAACAAGTACTAGCCGCACGTGTGACTGGTGTCTGAAACTTACTGAGAAACAACATGAGCAATAGCTGCACCAGTGACGCCCATATGGCAAACAAACATCAAAATTGGGTCTAGTATGATGTTCGCCGCGTCCCCGACCACTGAAAAGAAAAAGGTTATTAGGTTAGCAATGTCAGATATATGCGGTCTATTTGAAGCAGGCATTGCCAACAATAAAGGAACTACTGCACTTCAAAGTTCAATTTTAAAAAGAAAAACTGCATTTCAAAGCTTTCTACTTCGGATTTTGTCAGATGTATGAACAGCTCCTCTGTTTCATCGGCACTGCAGGTGAGCAACAGTGTTTTTGTTCTTACCAGTAGCATATAATGGTGTCTTAGTGTCCTTGAATCCCCGGAAGACCCCTTGCATGGCCAGAGACAATAGCACAGCAGGGGCACCAAGAGATCTTATTGTTAGGTAGCGAACTGCAGGTTTTTGCATCGGGGATCCCTAAAATACCACAAACATAAATGAACGAAAACGTTATACGATGTATGAAAATAGGCTGGCAAATTAAACGTGATCCGGGGAAATTAATATAATAGCACTCACAGATTTAACACCCATGATGTTTAGTACAAATTTTGCTGAAAAAACCAGGAAGACGGCCTGAAGCAGTCCGAGAATTGAACCAACTATCAGTGCTGAGGTGACCGATGGTATGTACCTCTTCTTGCACCGTTGGTTGGAGAGATCTGTACACTCTGTGGGGATACATGAGTTCACGCATTCTGCCATATCAGGACCTAGAAACAAAGTTTAACATAGATATAATGATGATATATGCAGAGGTGGTTACGGACGGCTCAAATTCTGAAACCATATATGTTCCAAGAAGTAGGTACCAGATACAGGCAAATTGTTGGTTTCTGAGTCCACATGGGAAGCTTTCTCCAGGTCTCGGCTGCTGTTTTCTTCAATAGCTTTACTGATGATAGCATCTTCCTCCGCGACAAATGATGTTGTCACGCTGACAAGAGGGTAGATACAGACTTTCGAGACCTGGTTAAATATGGCGATTGAAACACCAACAGCGGCAATCTCCACCGAACCTGACCATCCCAATCAATTGCACACAGATTAATTCAGTAGCATTATTATATTCTAGACTACTAATAATGAGCTGATGTTGATGTTATCGAGTATATTTATGCCTTGCAACTAGCATAAATATGCAATGGCAAACTAAAGTTGCTGGTCCTAGCTATAAACTAAAAGATAGAAGTGCAAAAATGGGAAAACAAATAGTGAAATAGGCTACTATGGTACAATTCGACCAGAAGGAAACGGTAACCGTCTTACCATCAATCAAAAGAGAATAAAACAGAAAGGATGCCCTTGGCGTATACTATGTGACTAGGTCCTATCCGAGGCAACCGATCAATTGTAACAAGAAAACGGCAGCACACGTGGAGGAAGATTCAGCAAGGACGCTATTGTGATAATGGGTAAAACGATTTTTTTTTTTTTGTGGCGATGAAGCTTAAGGAGAAAGAAGGGAACAGGAATAGTAGGGAATCAACAATGATAGCTGTAGTTATGGCTTGTCACTTGCTTATCTCTCAAACTTGTCTGGAGAGGCTACTATCCTAAGGGGATAAGAGTTTATGCAGGGGGAGTTTTTTTCCTTATGTGCTGTTGTCGCTGGAAACTTTGCTTCATGGTAACCCTGGGTGGGAAGGAGATACTGTTTTAGCTCGTGTAAGACCTTTCCACTAGTGGCTAATGAAAAAGATCGCAGGTTGATTTCTGTTGAAGACTGATCCGATCGGCGAGGCTTTGGAGGAAGCTGCGGCGTTCTTTGTTATCTTGATTTTGTTTTTTGCTTGCTTTGTTTGGGTTCTTATCGTTTTGGTAGAGTGTTTTGAGCTTGGTAAGCTCTGTTCCTTAGCTATTGTGGAGGTAGTGTTGCCGTTGCTCTCCACGGCCTATTTTGTGCTCTTCAATTCAATGTAAGCTGGTAATCCCAGCAATGCTGTACCTATTTGTGCTTTATAAAAGCAGGGTTTTCCTCCGTCAAAAAAATAATAATGATAGCTGTAGCTCCTCTAGGTGAAGACATTCGAGTCAGATCTCACCAACATTGATAGAAACAGAAAACGACATGGTGAGCATCTGCCCTGTTCGCTTGGCTGATAAGTCATACTGAAAGTACTGTTGCTGATTTATTGTGAGAGAAAAATACTATTCGTTGGCTAAAAAAATACTGCTTATAAGCTAAGCGAACAGGGCAATCATCAGTAAACACGAAACGTTCGGCATGTACGTATTCGATTGGCCGGCTATGTAGGAGTAGTATAAAACTGAAAGCTGAAAGGCACATTTCAGCAGGAATGAAGTTTGTTACTTTGCCAAAATGACAAAAGGGAAAGAAGTAGCGAATATTTCTAGAACTGTAAAGCTGGCGTCTACACAGAACGAAAGAAGCTAACGGATATCCATTCACAGGAAATGCAAGAATGACATGCAAGAGGAAATGAGTTGTGATGAGCTCGGTTGTGATTTGTGAACGCGGTGATCAGGTGACCTTGGTGCAGCCACGGCAATGTGCACATGAACCTTGAAAGAATAGATGGGAGGAAGATGTTCAGTTCAGAGTTTATATTACCTAAACGGCCGATGAACGCTGTGTCCACCAAGGAGGCGAGCGGATCGGCCGCCAAAGCAAGCGACGCAGGCACTGCAATGCGCAGCACCTCCGATCCGAGGTCGTCGAGCTTGAAGACGCTCCTGTCGTATCGTATCGCATCGTATGTGGCAAGTTGGTCAGCACGTTCAAGCATGATTTGATCAGCAATGGTACGGTAAATAATGCAACTGCGCACAAGCAAACGCGCGCACCTGATGTTCATGACGAAAAGATGGAGCCCCGTCTTCCTGGGCCCGCAGGGCAATAATGCCGGCGGCGGCGCATCCTCCTCCACCTTGTTCTCCTCGCCGGCGCTACCGTTCGTAGCTGCCGCCGCGGCGGTGTCAGGGATCGCCGCGTGCTTCTCGGCGGGCAGCATGCTCGTCGCAGGAGCAGCGGCGGCGTCGGCACCGTTGTCCTCCATGCTCCAACCAGGTTGCGTGAGCTCTCAGCGCTCACACCACCAGCGAGAGAGCGAGAGGGAGAGGGAGATGTCGCGGCACGCAACAGCGGGAGACGCACCCGTACTTATACACCTCCGTCGTCCGTCGCGTGTGCCGTGCCGTGCGGCGCTTGCTTATCAGGAGACGATCAGCTGGCACAGGGAAAAGCGAGGCGGGTGTCAGTCAAGCAGGCGTGCATGGGAGACTTGGGGCCTGTTTAGTTGCTCCAAAATCCAGAATTTGGCACTATGCAAAAAGAAGATTCCCCGTCACATCAAACTTGCGGTACATGCATGGAGTATTAAATGTTGACGAAATCAAAAACTAATTGTACAGTTTGGTTGTACTTTGCGAGACGAACGTTTTAAGCCTAATTAGTCAACAATTGGACAATTATTACCAAATAAAAACAAAACGACACTGTAGCAACAGTGTTGCTACAGTGATCCGGGCGGCGCCGAACCGGCGGAACTAAACAAGGGCTTGAAGGAGAGACCCGGCGCGCGCTTGTCTCCGTCGGTCAGTTATCACAGCAGCAACGAACCCGTCTACTACCTTTTCCAGGCCACCGCCGTACGCGAACGCAGCCAGCCAGGGAGCGACGCCTCCGCATGCAGCGGAAGCCAAGGCCGGAACCGAGACGAACGGCACGCAGTTCTGAGCTCTCGCCATGCGCCCCCCCCTGCCTCCGTAAGTTTTAAGTCCATGGCCTTGTTTAGTTTACATCAAAATTCCAAGTTTTTTCACTCTCTCTCCATCACATCAATTTTTGGACGCTTGCATGGAGTATTAAATATAGGTAAAAAAAAAAACTAATTACACAGTTTAGTTGAAAATCACGAGATGAATCTTTTGAGCCTAGTTGGTCCACGATTAGACAATATTTACCAAATAAAACGAAAGTGCTACTATTCATCGGGTTGAAAAAATCTTCAATCTAAACAAGGCCCATGTACTATTTACTACAGCCCAATAGCCATCAGGATCCAGGAAATTGCAAATTCATTAGTCGAACTTGAGCTGTTCCAAATTTTCTCTAACGTATAAAAACCCATGGGTCATAGAATAGGGCCCGCGTCATCATTAATTAAAAAGGGTAAAAGCTGAGCTTCAGACGGCTGATGAATGGATTTTTTATTCGTCACAGCCCGGTATTAGACTTTTTTCAGGTGAGGTCGGTCTTATAAGTATTTTTTTTTTGCTTCCTTCTTCAATCTCTAAAATCTACAGGCTATACGTACTAGAAGTTACTAATTGAGTAACAATTTGTTGTCTATTGATATCTTTGCTATTTAATTTGTTCTAAGCCCCAAATTGCATAGTAGTACTAAAACTAATTTCTCCATGACCTTCGGCTAGCTTATTATCAGCGCTGCAGCTGCTAGAAATCTCTGTAGCTACAGCTTTTTTTTTTTTTGGTCACTTCAGCTGCCAGAAGCAGCAGCCGAAACGGCTGCCCAACCGAACAGCTTGGCAAATTGCCCCCCCCCGCATATTGGTTTTGGCTCCGCCACTGCGCGGTGTGGTGCGTGTGGAGCGGCGGGTCTCACTGCCACTTTGCACTTTGCAGCCAGCACCCAGCAGTCGACCGCGGAACCCTGTCGCATTGGTGGCTGTCTGCCGTTACGTTGCGTGCCTGCAGATGCAAGTGACGCGCTTCACGGGGCCCGCCGTACGCGATGACCGGCGACGGCAGCACGGACCGGCCGAAGTGACGAGCTCTGCTCTGTCCTCGAACCCCTGTTCTCCCGTTACGGGAAATGGTGAGCGTTTACCCAAAGTGAACCCAGAATTGGACTGGAGGTACAGGTACTACTCCTTCCAAGTGTGGAAATACAGAAGGAAAGCAATATATCCAATTATCCATTATCCATATGACCATATCCAACGGTCTATGCTACCGGTTAGGCGGTTACAAGTTACAACGTAACTCCCCGGTCGTTGCTCTGCTTGCAACGGCGCTAGATGAGGATCTGGTAGCCGGCGGCGGCGGCGTAGCCACAGACCCACAGTACAAATCTAACGACGACCGACCGGATAGAGATTCGGATCGACGACGGCAACGGGGCATGGTCAACAGTAGGCAGGCAAAGATTTGTGGCGACATTCTTGACCATGTGGGCTGGATGGTAGGATTACCGGATGGATTGGATCGGTGGTGTGCCAGCGTAGGCCTGGATAAAAATTCACTCCGAAGATTCTTGAGCATTTCAGATCAGTCTAGTGGCGTGTTTTATTTAGTAGTTGCCTACTTGGGAAAAATGTACTTAACTCCTAATTTATTGGTAGTTGGCTACTTCGCGCCCTGGTCTGTAAAAGCATATATTCTACCCTTAAATTATTGAAAACCCGCATAAATAACCCCCTAAGACAGTTTTGAGAGTCGTTTCGTTGACATGGCATATCACCAGACCGCATAATCCCCGCAACTATAAAATCTAATACTGTAGTCATTAAAGTATCTAATTATGTTCAAATTATCTCCTAATGATATTGCAAGGCCATTTGGACATTGTATCACATCACACCAATACTTGCATATAGGCCCATGTGTTGCATCCACCTCCCTGCATTTTTTAGAGACGACACTCTTTTCTCTCTCCTACTTTATCTTTCCTACATGGTTCTCTAAGAAAAAAATCTGGCTTCTTATGTTACGATGTTAATACTAAGATATTTGTTGTGGGTGCTCTAAGAAAAAAACTAGCGTCCCAACAGTCTACTACCAAGGAAAAAAATCTAGAGGGAGTAGCTAGTACTAGGGCACTGAGTTTTTCGAGGTGTTATTTCCTCGAAAGTTCAGCTAGCGCGTTAGTACATTTGTTCCCCTTTTTTTTCTTTCCTCCTTTTGGCACGTCTTGTTATTCAAGGTGGGAACAACGAAAAGAGAGGCAAGTCCTCTCGGTTTCCCCACTGGAAGTGGAGCTCTTCAATTGCTCACTCGTTCCAAGGAAAAAGATGAAAAGAGGACTATCGTATCTTTTCCTCCGGTCACATGACATTTCTGAAATTTTGTTAGTCTATTATCTGTGTTCGAGGAGTTATAATCACAATGGAGCTACTAGCTACTTCCTCTTATTCAAAATACATACCATTTTAGAACCTTGTCTGTCAACCTTTTAAACCTAGAACAGATACTGACTATCGCTTAGTTCGCTGGTCTGAACTGAAAAGTTCAGCCGGTTGGTTCCCCTCCCATCGCACTGTTCATCAAACCAGCCAACAGTGTTTGTCTCTCACAACAATTCAGCCAGAACAGTGTTTTTCAGCCAAGTTTCAGACCAACGAACGGGGCCTATGTAGGGTTTTGGTATTACTATTTGCTACATTGACCATATGAAAAATAATATGTTTGTAATATTTTATTATCTTAATTACTTGAAAGTTCCTTTTTTCTCAATTTTTTGGGTGAAAGAGACAGATCATGTTGATGTCCTCAACAACATGCATATTGAACTGGAGGGACTATATCTAAAATTAAGTGCATGAATCCATTAATTCAGGACTGAAACAAGAAGAGGGAGAAGAAGAAGAAGAAAGAAAGAAACAAAGAAATGGCAAACCATGCATCTCGAGAGTTTCCTGTCATTTTTTTTTTGTTATACCAAGAAGGCAAAAAAAAACATATTCTCACTGTCAACTGTGTTTCAAGTAAACTAAAAACACCCAGAAAAATTAGAACTGTGTAACTTTTCGCAAAGGAAAAAAAAAAAAACACTAGCAGTTTGGAGCTATTAGTGCTGGCAGGATGTTAATCCACTAGCAGTTTGGAGCAAACCACACGGATGTAAACTATTGCAATATGAGATAAGGAACTTATTAGTGGAAGCTCTCTTTTGTCAATGTGATTGGCGATGGGATACCTTGCTAATCTAGGCTAAATATATATAATTTGGACATCGAATTAAGTGGAATCAATGATATATGCACCAAGTCAAAAAAGTAACAGGGAGTAGCACGTTTGCAATGTGCATAGTACGAAGAGCAATAATCAGAAGGTTGCATCAGGGTTGGTGTAACTGCAATATAATTACTGTTTGGTGAATCCTTACACATGCAGTTTTAAAATAAACAGGCAAACATTCCACGGTACTAAAGTTATATGGCATTAATATCCCCAACATTTAAGACACATATCTATCGAGAGGTTTGAGTGATTAGACAATAGATAAGCTACAGATAATCCTTGAACACTTTACCCTATCTCTAGCGCGCTGTCCAATCTCCGTTATTTTAGGGGTGTTTGGTTGTTTAGTCGCTCCTAAAATTTATGTCACATCAAATGTTTAGAGGCTAATAAGGAGCATTAAATATAAATTAATTATAAAACCAATTACATAGATGGAGACTAATTTCCGAGACGAATTTTTTAAGCCTAATTAATCTATCATTAGCACATGTTTACTGTAGCACCACGTTGTCAAATCATAGACTAATTAGGCTTAAAAAATTCGTCTCCCAAATTAGTCGCAAGTTATGCAATTAATTTCGTAATTAGTCTATATTTAATACTCCATGCATGTGTCTAAACATTGATGTGACAGAATTTTAGGAGGAGGAGAAGAAACCAAACATGCCCTTAGTTTGCACCTTCATTTCGCCAGATTTTTCCACAAGATATTCTTATTTTATTTTTAAATAAACTATAATTACGTCAGAATACTACAATTAAGCCGAGATACTTCCGGATTCTACACAGTTAGGATGCACGCAGCCTAAAATTTGTAAAGAAAGAAAAACAAACGACATGACAAGCGCATGCCACAGAGAGTAACAATACAACAACATTTTATAAGCAAGCTAAGGGTGAATCGCAGGCATGGTCTTTGGATGATTCACATGCATACAGCGCAAAAAAGAAAAACATGATCCTGGAAGCTATCTTTTGACTGTTTAACCACTCTCTAGAAGCATAAAAGGAGAGAAAAAAGAATAGCAGTCAGGTTCGTTTATCCAATAAAAGCTCCCAAATGCGAGCTGT